TTTTTAGCATACCGTTGTAACCGCCAATGACGAAAATCATATCGTCGAGGATCACCGTGGCGAAATTGCTGCGTGGGCTAAACATCTCCGAGATTTCGTGCCATTGATCCGAGTGATTGGGAGTGTAACGTTCTCCTGTAAAATAAATGTTTATTTTTTTTTTTTCAAATAATGCCACTCCAACATCAGCAGGAACTTGTCATGTCGGACATACGCGTGGAAAATATTTAACGCGCAGTTGTACATTCACGAATATTACTAAAGACTACGTCATACATAACGGGAATGCAATTCGAGAATGATACCAGGTAACTGACATAGTTACAACGAGACTACTATTGTTTGCATGAACATTTTAATATCAAACTAAATCCTGACAAATGTACAGAGCATCCATGTAACTTTCCTGGAATAATTAATCATTAACGCATATATATATTAGCATGTGCAATCTTTATGCCGTACATACTCTATTGTCGTATATAAACATTAATTGCCAAAGGTTTTCTATCTGGAAATTTATACAATCTATTTATACAAAAACATTAAAAATATTACCAAAAAATATTAAAAAAAATAATACGACGATTTTTTTTAATATCTTAATATGTCTGAAGTATTTTCAGGATATGGTTGCATTTATTACAGCCAAAATAAAATGACTGCTTCCGAGCATTTTAATATCAATATGCGAGACTATAATTTTATAGTTACTTTTTAGAAAAATTTTAATATTGAGCATATGCAAGCATAAATATTTTCATATGTATGCAAAAATTTTATAATCCTCATATAGAAAATTTTTAATCTTGAATCGAGCGAAAGGTGATACTTGCGTCGATAATCAAATTTAATCGAGAGAGTAAAATTTTTAAAGAGATTACAATATTCTTATTTACGTATACGAATATTTTTTTTTTTAATTTAAGACTAATTTTTTTTCTGTGCAAAAGCACCTTGCGTAATATCGTGAGATTGTGAGGGGAGATTGTGAGATTGAAACTAACCGGAGCTCAATCTCGCGACACCGCTGAATCCGCCGAGGGCATAGAGACTATCGCGAAAGGCAACCAAGGAGACGCCGGATCGCGGGCTGATCATCGAGTTGATGTTCGTCCACTGATTAGATTCCACATCGAAGACTTCGGCCGAGTCGAGGACTTCCTGGCCGTTGAAGCCGCCGACGATGTAGATCTTATCGTGCAGGGCGGCCGCGCTCGCGTCCGATCGTTGCCGATGCATAGACGGTATCATCTCCCATTGATTCCTTTGCGGCTCGTATCGTTCGCCAGAACTCATTCTCGTGCGACCATTGTATCCGCCGAGCGCATAAATCTTGCCACCTTGAACGATACCGGAACAATGTGTAATACGTAGACACGAATGGAAAGTAGACGCGAGAGGTGAGACGAACGGTGGTCTTTAGTCTTGTAAAAAAAAAAAAAAAACACATACAAGCGTTTGTTTTAACGTTTTTTTGTTCGCGAGTAATAATGCGTGGAGAAAGAAACTGCTTACTTCTCGGGTGAATTTTTTTATGCGCACATTCGTCTTGTTATTTACGCATTCGAACAACAGCCTCGCGTATTTCAAAGCGTTATAAAAGCGTTCCATAAAGGAAACCTATCATTGTTTTACAACAACAGCGAAATCTAATTCCACCGTTTCCTTTAACTTTAATATTTTTTTTTTTTATGTAATGTTATAAAATAATAAAGACAGACTTTGAATTTTATCCGTCTGATATAATTTAATAATTATATTGATAATAAGAGTTGGAGAACCATTTGGGAAATAATTGTCTTATTTTACAAAATGGGAAACTCACTGTGTGTGCAAATACTGACGTAACATCTGGCGTGATACATGCAGGCTCGTTCTCGCCATGCTTTCGTCGTCGGATCAAAACATCGCACCGTGTTAAAGTGCTCGTTACCGTCAAATCCACCGATCATGTAGATGAGATTGTTCAGGACACACAGACCGTGATAAGCCCTCGGTGTTACATCCGTGTTCGCTGATAGAAACCATCTGTCAGCTCTAGAGTTGACATTTAGATAAGTTACAAGACTGTCGAAGCACCAATGTGTATCTACTTATGTGCATCGTTTCTGCAAAGTTCTGCTTGTGCGAGAGTTGATATCTCTTCCGTAACATCAAAATTGCATTAGTAAACGTTAATCTCCCCTTAATCATTCCTTTTTTTCAATCTTATATATTTTGTTTTAATTTTAACATCCAATTTTATCTTTAATAATCGCGTGTCTTATCAATTCATAAAATGAATATATTCTGTAATGTATGTTCAATACAGAATAAAGATAAGAGATAAGAGATATTAAAAATCAAATAACCTGAGTATTTTTCGATGCCAGAATAATTTAAAGAGAAATTGAATTTTGAAGAGAAATTAAAAAAAATACAGTAAAAATTAAAAATATATCTCTTTTTTAAAGAAAGACCGAATCTGTCACTGTTTAGAGAAAATATTTATTTATTTTTATTTAAAGTCTAAATTAAATTCAATATACATACAATAATATTTTCTTAAACTTCGATTTCTATGGAAATTTCGGTTATGTGATATTACTTTGAGCTTGAGGCACCTTGTGTCGTAAGTCTCCACAAAACTGGTGGGCGAACCAGCACTCCAACCCCCAATTGCAAAGAGAATTTCATATGGGATTCGAGGTCTCGCAATAGGATTTTTCAGATCGATCTCACCGCCGTTTTGTTTCGACTCTTGTTCGATTAGGTAGGCATTCACAGGAAGCAGCATTCGTTGACATATCTTACAAAATTCAAGCGGATTTAAGT